CAGGTGGTACACATATGATAGACTAGTTAATGCAGACCTCGCGACCACCACTGGACGATGCCAAAACAGCGACTAGCAACTGATGCACACTAACCAGCCATGGACACCGACAACCGACAATGTAATCCTGACAATCACACCTGACGGGTCAATGGTTGGCAGACCAGACAATTCAAACTCACTGGCACGTGGCTCGCAAAGCAGACTCTGCAGCCACCAACGGGAGCCCCCAAGGCGCAGGGAGGCCTGCTTGCAAACAATTCCATGGAATGTAGATCAGCTGGTTGGAAGAGAGCTCAGGGGCGGAGAGGGGATCAATTAAAAAGGGCAAAGCATTCACCTCTTTTGTACTACCATGGAGTGCAGGACAACTAAGCACTTGAGGCAGCTCACGAGCTCGCGTAATGAGTGACTCAGCACTTCAGTTCGTACAGTACCATGCAGCAACAGCAAGCAAGTTATCACTAGTAGCCTGCCTCCAATCAAGCAGATGTCATCTTCAGCAGAACAGGTGGGGTTGGACCTGCTGCCCCTGCAAAGGCAACTAAGGCACCAAGGGTACCCTACTCGGTATTTTGGCAGCTGCCTCTGGACCCTCATAGAGAAACAGGCCTGTCGTCCGAAAGCTGGGGGCAGACTGTGCGGATGGTAAAGTGATAATAAACAAACTGTACTCTGGGGTCAGACAGACCGAGTTTTCATTTTTTTAAGACAGTTGCGATCAGGAGAGCCAAGGGAACTATTACATGCTGCGCCTGCAAACGAGGGCCATTTTCAGGCCCTGGGTCGTTTCAGCCTGAAAGCCTGAAAACAAGGGCCTACAGGCCATGTGTCGTTTCAGCCTGAAAGCCTGAAAATAAGGGCCTACAGGCCCTGTGTCGTTTCAGCCTAAAACAGGGCCCTCCAGGCCCTGAGTCTTTTCAGCCTGAAACAGAGGGCCATTTTCAGGCCCTCATAAGATCGACCTGCCCTGAAACTCAGGCGCCAGACCAGGGTTTTAGCACAGGCCATTTTAGGCCTGTTTTCAAGACAACTTTTGTTCGAGTTTCAACGCCAGGGTCTGGCACGTTTTGGCATTGGCAAGAGCAGCCTCCTGGACGGGCCAGCACTATATAAGACTGGCCCGCCCTGCAGCCTGCAGGTAGTTCATAGGGACTTCCCAGGCACTTCACCTGCAGTGCAGGAGGCAGGAGGTAGTCTTCAGGATTCGGCAGCAGCACTCTGSAGGAGTGCTGCAGTAGTAGTAGTAGCGTTAGCAGTAGTCTTCAGCGCTGGGCGCTAGTACGAAGAGAGAGAGAGATTGGCCGGAGGCCAGGGAGACTTACCTGCAGCGCCATAGCTCCAGCTTCGTCTTCAAGGTACCTGCAGCACAGCGTCATCTTCACAGGTTAGTACCCGGCAGATATGAGAGAGAGAGAGAGAGAGAGAGAGAGAGAGAGAGAGAGAGAGAGAGAGAGAGAGAGAGAGTTCTTCTTCTTCCTCTTCTCAGTCCACCATCTCCCTCTCACCCTCTCGCTWCCTSACTWCWCTRCATCAGCAGACTACCAGAGAGAGCGGGATTGGTGACATTTGGATCCAGACTCGACATTGGGCTTCAGACGTTTGACGAGGGATTATCTGGGACTTGTACCGAAGACTTGGTGTTGACGACATTCCCATCTTCCCCCTCTTCTTCGTCTGATCCCCTCCTCTCAGTCTGTGTATGCTCTGGACCTGGCGCATTCTTCCTGTGTGTAGCACCAGGCCCCCTCACACCTTGTGATGAGGATGATGTATGTTTGGTCTGCATTGCGACATTGATTGGGCTAGTCATTGGTATTCTAGCATTCCGCTGCGCTGTCTTGTACTACGTGAGAGAGGTCAGTCCCGGTCAGGTCAGGGCTTATATCTAAGTCTTCCACTGCGCTACAAAGCGCCATTTTGTATGTATCAGGATGTACATTGCTTGTTGAGATTCCACTAACATCGCATTGTCCATTCAGTCCTTTTTATCACATTGCGGATCCTTGGCTTTACATGCATTGCCCAACTGGGCATGTAACAGGAACTGCCGCTCTCAGTGTTCTAAGCCTAGTATGTAAGTCTGTAAGGTCTGCAGTCAAAACCATATCCGAAAGTCCCCTTGATAAGGCTGGGTCTTGGAACCGGCCGACCGGCCGAAACCAGCTGGCGATAGCGCTCTCCTGACCTATGTTTTTTTAAAGACAGTTGCGATCAGGAGAGCCAAGGGAACTGCCACTCTTGGTGTTCCAAGCCTAGTATGTAAGTCTGTAAGGTTGCGGTCAAAACCATCTCCGAAAGTCCCCTTGATAAGGCTGGGTCTTGCAACCAGCCTACCGACCGAAACCGGTTGGGGATAGTGCTCTCCTGACCTATGTGCTTGGACAGCAGTTATGACGTGAATGTAATCTCCATACTATGCTCTCATTTGTCAGAGAGCTTTTGCACACCTTGTTAGTGTGCTCTGTGCTCCATGCACATCTTGTGGCCTTGGCTTTCACTTCTGAGATGCACAACTTTCATGTGAAGTGTCACAGTCGCCCAAGCTATGCTGGTCAAATATTCCCTGTTGCACACACACTTCCAAATGACCCTGAGCAGCCCCAGTACCATCATCACATACCCTACCAGACTCAGGGTGTCTCCAAGTCGCTGGAAAATCCATACCGCATTCCTAGCAAACTCCGCTTCTGTTTTTTTTCCTTTCAAACCTCACTTTTTATGGAAATTTGTTGTTCACGCTTGCCAGTGACGAGAAACCGGACTGCAGCCCCACAGAATAGAAGCGGCACCTGAGTGTGTGGGTTTTATAAAAAAGAAAAAGAAAAAGCCTGGAAACCAGATCCAACGTCCCTTACATCAAGCACCCACTCAATGCTTCCCTTAGTTATTGTCAAGGGACCCTGAGGGCCTGAGACAGTAGCATGGATTACTTTCCCTTCCAGGAAGGATGTACCACTGCTCCACCCCTGCTGTCAACAACTTTCCCTCTAAAGGTTGTCCCCCTTCCCCTCCCCCATCCCCAACCAGTTACCAGCATCCCCAACTTGCATGATCCCGCCCCTCTGCTCTCTATCTCCCCCTTGGCACCCGCCATACTCCTTGCCTTTCCTAAATCACACAAGAGATAGAGCAGTGGTGAGAGAGGGAGAGCGAGCATGGGGGGGGAGGAGAGAGAAACGAGAGAGAGAGAGAGAGAGAGAGAGAGGGAGAGAGGGAGAGAGAGAGACAGCTGCTTCAGGAAACGCAAGACAGTGAAGGGAGAGAGGAGAGGGAGCAGGGACGAGAGAGGGAGAGCAAAGATAGAAAGAAGGGGGAACAGGGAAAGAGAAGAGAGAGAGAAAGAGTGAGGTAGAGAGAGGGGAATACAGTGGGAGACAGCACGGAGGTAAAAGAGAAAGAAAGCAGGGTGAGAGGGAGAGGTGAGGGGGCAGAGAGTGAAAGAGAGAGGGAGAGCAGGAGTGAGACAGGGAGAGAGGGAAGACAGAGACAGAAAGATAAACAATGGGGCAGGGGTGAGAGAGGGAGATCACTTGTCATCGTGACAGGGAAGGTGCGAGAGAGAGAGAGAGAGAGAGAGAGAGAGAGAGAGAGAGAGAGAGAGAGAGAGAGAGAGAGAGAGAGAGAGAGAGAGAGAGAGAGAGAGANAGAGAGAGAGAGAGAGAGAGAGAGAGAGAGAGAGAGAGAGAGAGAGAGAGAGAGAGAGAGAGAGAGAGAGAGAGAGAGAGAGAGAGAGCCATATTTTGTTTTTGTCCGAGTTTACAATGTTCTATGCACACCTTGGTTTGTTTGCGAATCTCCTCTTTTCTTTTGCTCTCTCTAGCGGGCGAAGCCACAACGGATCTCCTAGTATCTTTCTACTGTTTTTTCTCTTAGCTGGTGGCACCTACCCTACACCCATGAAATTTCTCAGTTTTGTTATTGAGGGAGATGAGCAAAAAAACGCCAAAGTGAGGAAACGATTGTGTGTTGCCCTCAGATGACCTCAGCCCCGTGTTAACCACCGCGGTCCACGTGCCAGGCCCCCAGGTAGTGGTGGGTTAATGTCAGCAGTTTGCAAGCAATGACTGCGCAGCCCACGGAAACTCTGCAGCTCAGCAAATTTTTATTTCATTTGGCACAATGTCCTCTGCCCCACGAAAAAGGCATGGGAGGTCTCTCAGAAGATAGCTGATTGAACCCTTCAGCTCTCCGCCCCACTAAAGGGGGATGGAAGTTCTCACAGAGCCCTCAAGGTCCACAGGATTGCCGTCATACAACAAATTGCTTCAAAGTTCAAATACAATGAAAGAAAACGATGTGGTCGGTCCAATCAGCCTTCGTCAATCCAGAAACAGGTCAATCTCACTCCTTGCTAAAGAAACGGAGGGTATTACAGTACTGATACCTGAATTCAGAATTTACTATTTAGTAATTTACCTTTATGTTTGTTTGTTTTCTTTTAATTTGGACCATTTCTCGATTTATGTGTGTCATCCTTGCGCAGGGGCCATGCTAATCTTCTCTGTATCGTTCCAATTTTAACAGATGTCCCGAACGACAATATACCTTTATGTTTAACAGTTTAAGTATTTGACTTTTGCAAAAGAATGGACCAGGACATCTCGTCAGACAGACACAATGCTCCCTGTTCCTTTTTGTCTTCTTCTTCTTTTCCCCCAAAGCCCAGGGTGTTGTAGAGGCCAAGGACTAGACCCACGGTGATCGCTGGCAGCGGCAGCCGATAGTTGTCCTGACAGGATAGGCCACCTTCCCTACCCCTCCCCATGTTAATTCTCCCAGCGCACCCCTCCCTGTTCCTCACATGTTCCATGAAGGGACCCTCACCTCCAGTTGACTCAAAAGCCTCATTAACATCCTCATACACCACGAAGGTGAGCCACAGAACCGGGAAGGCACCGAGAGCGGTCCATAGCATTTCCATTTATACCCTTCCCCATGTTATTTCTCCCAGCGCACCCCTCCCTAATCCTCCCATGTTCCATGAAGGGGACCCTCACCTCCAGTTGACTCAAAAGCCTCATTAACATCCTCATACACCACGAAGGTGAGCCACAGAACTGGGAAGGCACCAAGAGCGGTCCATAGCATTTCCATATATTTGTCATCATATTCACAAGAGGCTTGAGCTCCTCTTCTCCTGGTGGACATCCCAAAACATCCAACGACATGTCATCATGACGTCATCAGAAAATATAGATTCCTTTTCTTCTCTGGCACTTCACACCATTTCAAACGAAGCACACATGGAAATACAACCAACAGAGACCCCCTCTTCCTTCATTGCATTCACCTCCCTAAACACACCACAAGTGGAACCCCATCCTCACTTGAAAAATCTTTATTGCCCTGCTCGCTTTCCCCACAATCCCATAGATTTCCACTTTGGCGCTTCCATCAACCACAAGCCTTTTTCATTCTTCTACCCTGCCCTTCTTCTCCCCTATGCTCTTTTTCCTGTGCAACAGTTTTTTCATCTTGCTTAACCTCTCAGCGTATGACATGCCACTCAACTGTCACAGATATAACAAATTTTCATCTTGCTTAACCTCTCATTCCGACAAAGCCCAAAACATTGACAACTCCAGCATCGCCCCACTGACAAGGGAAATCTGGCACACAGAAATCACGCTGACTCCACACATGGCTGAAATACAACCCCACTTGTGCAACATCCTCATCCAATGAATCAGATACTTCACATCCTACGTACACATAGACACTATAAGCCGTCATGCTCACTGCTCGACACCTTCCACAATGGGCGGTACAGATCCAAGAGCCACAGGGAATTGAACAATTTGATGTTGAGAATCTGAGATGCCGAAGGCCACTCCAAGCATATAGACGATATGAGCATCAAGGGCTAGTCCACGGCAAAATGTTGGTTTTCACCTGCCATTGAAGCCATTTCATCACGAGCTTTGGCAATTGTCTCCAACTGCCCCAGCACTTCCTCAAGGCCCTTCGAATATAAGTCCCGACCACGCGAGTCATTCCACTGCAGCAGCCATGAAGAAAGCAGAAGGAGAGAGACGACAATACTCAGACCTTCACAATCACAAATCCTGCACTTCTTCCTCTACCCCCCCCTTCCTTCCCGACCAGACAGGACAATTTTCTGACTGAAAGCGCGTTCGCATGTTCCCAGCAGGCACAAAACAGGACGTGAGCATACATCAACTCAGCATCTGTTCCATTCTCATTGTGCCTCACAATATATGCCAGCATTAGTTAACAGCCAGAGTACACAATCGGCCACCAAACTACCTACAGTGATTAGGATGCTGCTTCGACACAAGCTGATGTTCAGTCAGACATGCCACAGGACACAACACAACATCTGCTTCGAGTTCTTTGAGGGCATGCATGAGCGACACTTCCACACCAAGCCCACATCAGATAACGCACACATCCACCCACAAAGTACACGTGAGATGAATACTTGACCATAGTCTCGGGCATTGGCAACCACCTCAATTACACAAAATTGTTTTTGCACAAGATGACCTGGCAAGCTCTTTGCAGTATGGGGACTCTCTCTCTCTCTCTCTCTCTCTCTCTCTC